CAACAACTGCTAAGCAATGACATGGCAGACAAATAGTGTAGAAATCACCATCACGTCATCATACCAATTGGGAATCGGCCACTACATGACGTGTGCTTCAATGTGTGATCACCATGTTTTATGTCAAGCAACAGGTGAAAGTAGTGAGAAGCATGCTGACACTGGGTTCTGGTGAAGAGGAATCGTGTTATTTGGAGAGATGAATCATGGTCGTCGGAGGGGCAAATCCATGTCAGGCAGGTATCAATGGAATGCCACACACAGGAATTTTATAGATCCTGCTGTAATGTTTGGTGGATGATGGAAACTGGTCTGAGGCTGTGTCAGGGCTGAGGCTAGATCTCCTGGTTTTATGAAGGGCTCTTCACTGCAATAGGACTCAAAGATATGTCAGCTTAGCTAACGGGTTGCTTCCAATTTGGAGGCAACACAATCAAGAAAGGCTCTTTACTGTTCCAGCATGATTTTACTCATAAAACCAGGTCCATAAGATTATTGTTAGCGGAACTATATTGACCTCAACCCCCGATGAAAACCTTTGGGAGGATTTCGAATGCCTATTGGGAGCGAGGCCTTCTCGTCAAACATTAGTGTCTGACCTCACAATGCTCTTTCAGCTGAGTGGGCACAAACTGCCACAGACTCTCTTAAATCTTGAGGAAAGCCTTCCCCCCGAAGAGTGGCGACGGTTAGAGCATGGTTTCAAAATGGGACGGCCAAGAAGGTGTGATGTATTCTTGGAAAGAGTTTTTTTTTTTATGCCCTTTAGCATCTACAGTCACCAGAGACGAGCTGTCTGAAGAAGAGCCAAGATAGCTGACACAAAACCTGGATCGCAAGCTGTTTGTGTCGGCTTTTTTGGACCTGTATCTTACACCTTCATCTCTCAAAGAAGAATTCAGAGCAATGCTAGGGTTTTGAAGATCCTGTACATACTGTGCCGTGGTTTTATTCTGCCTCCACTCGAACTGCATTTGACAGGGCTTTTTCATTAATACGATTTGCTTCAGCCAGTAAATGACTCTAAATTCAATCGTTCTGTAATCTGGTCTTGTAATATGGTGCAGTAACTGCATTTCTGTCACATATTTAGTTACTGGCTCTTTATTCTTTTGGTGTGCATCAAACTTGAATATCTTCTCAGTTTCTCAGTATTACTTTGCTTGACTAAGGGTCAAAAACAATATGCTTTAAAAGTAGGGCTAGATAGGGCTATGTTGTATCTACAGCACTAGATGTATGAAGCTTTTTTTTTTGTTTAGAAAGTGTTAAGTTCTACTTTTAGGTCCTTTATTGGTTTTACTGTAAAAGAGAAATTGCCAAATAATGAGATTCAGTTGTTTCTGATTTGTTTTATTTGCAGAGGAGGCATGTGGTATACAGGTCTCTCCAGACAGCAGTATCTACCATCAGCATAGCACGGTCAGATCTTACCTACATCTAATAACCCAAAAGCATAAATTAACAAAACTCTCCATTGGCACATATGGAAGATGATTTTTTTTTTTTTTTTCATACCTCCATATATTGAGGTGTTAGGAAGCAAACCTGTACTGCTCTCTCCCTCTGCCTCAGTTCAGACTGATTCAGCTGGTTAGGTGTGACTGGAGCAGCTATAATTAGCACTCCTAGCGAGTGGGTGGCAAACGAAGTGAGGAAGTGAGGATAAGGAAAAAGTGCTGTTGATGCCTGCAGTACACTGTAAAAGAACAGTCTGTCATTTCAATAACCGTTCGATGGCGTCTTCGGATGTCAGGTTCCTTTTGCAGTCGGCGTGCGAGAAAATAAATGTTTCATCATACGCTTGCTTTATTGAAAACATGATTCCTTTATTGCAGATGCACTGTGCTTTAGAGGGTGTTTAGTGGAGATAAATTGTCCATAAACAACAACAATGATCTGGAGGTAAAATGTAGGTCACCTATTTATAAACGATATATCACTAAGCAGCAGAAGTCGGCCTACACATCAACTAGAACATATGTACATTTCTGTATATGCTGAAGGAGAGTTTTTACAGTGGAATCAAGTTAAATATAAAAAAATGTGAATCTTCTACAATCAGTCAGTTTGTAGGATTAGATCATGATAATTGCACCTCTATTAGTGGCATAAGGTTTTAACTGAATTGCAATCCGCCATCAATTCAGAGCACATCTTAAGTGGTGTGACGTATATTATTGCGATGTCAACGTGTTGCGATAGCGTATGTCAGACCTTTTGAAATATCTGCTATTCGATTAAAGGTAGGCACTTGAAAATAAGAGATGTTCATTTGCCTTGCGTGTTACGGTGAGAGCAGAGAGAAAGTGAGTGTTAATTTTAGATCAAGTGTTTTAATATTGAATGAATATTATTTCCTGAGGAAACCTGTGGTTTAAACAGCACATTGGCTCATTTCTTCTCTACTTCTTATCACACTTTACCGTTTATGAACTGCCTTGCTGTGTATCTCATATAACACACGCTTTCAAATAGTGAGTCTATGGGCTGTTTTCTATATTTTAGGCCAGCTTCATGATGGGTATCCAGCTTACTTTTATTTACCGTTGTCTTTTTATTTAATGCAGCCTGCCTCTGTGGTGCATTTGATCGCAAATTCGTCATTAACGGCATCGATGTGTTTGCACGTGTAGATTCATTTTGGGTGGAACGTTATATCTCACAAAGAATCGGATTTCTGCTTTCCTGACAATGATCCTCATGAAACAGAAATGTTGTCTGGTGTGCCGAGTCAGTACTTACGCATATCTGCTGAGCGCTGATCGAATGTTTGTGTCCGACAAGCAATCGTAAGTTTTCTGTCAGGAGGGCACATTACTTCCCTCATGTCATTCATACTGCAGCCTGAAAACAGTCTTATTCTTCACTCTTAAGACTTCAACTTGAACAAGTAAAAGAGACTCTTTATTGAAACATGTTGACGTCAATTTTGTGGAAATTAGACTGGAGGTTTTTAAAAAATTCAAATCAAAAATGCAATTGTGGTTCAAATATTGTGGCTCAACTTGATTTGTGACGATGCTTTTGTGAGAGCCGATCCTACTGTATGTGTGAGAATGACTACAACTAAGTGAGGTAATGTATTAGAGAGAAATGAGGGGGTATGAGGATGATTGCTGTACACTCCACAACAGTCAAGTCTACAACAGGAAGGAGACAAAGAGGGTAAGACAAGAGAGAGAGAGAGAGAGAGAGAGAGAGAGTAATGGAGGCAGAGAGCAGAGGAAGACTTAAATCATCGCTACATATCTGCACATTCCTGCAGACAGAGACAGAGGTCAGCGGTGAAATACAGTAGAAGGCATCATTTAACAGGCATGCTTACTCTTAAAAGAATGTGGGCTTTATATTACCAAAAGCAAAGTGACTGCTCCTGTCATTTTAATTTGAACTTTTACTTGTCATTTCTTGATAATGTTTGCCTTATATGATTTAAAAAAAGTTGTTTGACAAACAAGGTATTTACCCATCTGACCGCTAAGAATCCATGTAAGTGGAAAAGTGTGTTTGGTACCTCAAGACCAAAATGACAAGATATTTAAAGCTTATCAAACTGAAAAAAAAAAAAAAAAGAGTCAATTAAGTAATTAAAATGTCTGGTAGTGTTTGTTAAGGTTGAAATGTTTGATTTGCTGGTTCTGAATTTACAAATGTGGGGATTGGTTTGCATTTTCCACGACATTTTGAGACACTTCACAGACAAGATGTCATCAACTAACAAATGAAGCTGATTCAAATAGCTAGATGCCGCCCTGAAAACGCAAATATTCAAAAATCTAAAAGTGAAACAAAGAAAGAGGCTTGGTATAGTAATTTGCCCCTCAGCTGTACAGCCTCGTTCTTACATGTCATTACACAACATGCAACTTTGCTCTTCCTCTGTAGACATCATCATGTTAAGTAGTTGGAACGGTGGTGAGAATAGAGCCTGCCCACATCCTTAGTTATCAATAGTTATTCGTTCCTGGAATCTTGACTTGCGTAATCTTGTATCACGCACAGCCCTGTCTATTACTCACTCTGTTTGTAGGCTACATGATGCTGTTCATTGTTTACTAAGTATCTGGGAAGTTGGGAGGAGGTGGAGAAGTTACATGCAAAAGATGTTTGTGTAAGTGCACAGTGTAATGTAAATAAGAACCTTAGAACAAGTAAGGGATTTCAGCTCAACGGTTTGAGAAAGATGGATGTCAAGAGGAGGTAAAGTAGATGTACAGGCGGAGGGGATGCAGGACGTTGCAATCTACTAAGAAGGTTAACAGCATAAACTGAGAAGAACCAAACCTTGTAACAACGGGTTAGTGTGTTTTCCATATCTTACCAGCAGAACACTGTTTGGAGAACAGAAATATGAACGTTTCGATGTGTTATTCTTCACCCTCCTCACTGGGTCTTGTGAGTATTTTGGCAGCCAGCTGGGTGTGTGGCTTTAGCTGTGATGTCACCCTCTAGTGTATTTTAGAGGTGTCAGCTGCTGGATGGACACTCTCCACTACACTGAAAAAGCCTAATCCATCCCCTCCCAAGAGCAACGCATCACACAATGCTGTCAGACGTATCACAGCAATAGTGTGGCTTTCTTTCTAGGCGGGCATTCAGGGTTCCCTGCCCTCTGTTTACCTAAACCACAGCCTCGTACCAATATTGAAATCCAGGTCCTGCATCGTGCCCTTGTTCCTTTACAAGGCATGAAGGACTCCTGGGCGAAATGTGACTTCTTTTTTTTTTTAACAGTGAAGACATGTTTTGTTAATGAAAGACGAGAAACAGACATAAAATCCAGTTTGGGAGACATGATGGAGGAATGACGGGTTGTATTGGAACCAGCAATGACATACAAACACAAGGTGTTGTTTGTGGGGGGAAGGAGGGGGGTTAGGGGGGGTAAATTATGCGCAACTTTACGCTACCTGTACTCTTTATGTCACCGCATAAACAGCAGCGTGCTCGTCAGAGATATTGGGTAAACACAATAGGTAATAAATGCCCTTTCTCACCTGCTCTCGTCCTGACCCTTCCTCCAAAATGGGCTCTTCAGCGGTGGCCGTCTCCTCCTCCGTCTGCATTTTCCCCTCTTGCCACTCCTTCCTTCCTTCCTTTAGAACCGGGCACAGGCAGCTCCCACCCCGGCACCGTCCGAAGGAAGGGACCTCCCCGGCGGAGCAGCAAGCTCGGTCACCCCATCTGCCGCAAGTCGGTATCCAATTTCACGATGGAGGGGCCTGCGGCAAACAAGCATCGTCCTCCGGATGTCGGTAACCCCCCCTCCCTACCCCTGCTGCTTTCCTCCAGTCTTGTCTCCCAAAGACCCGGCTCAGTGTTTCTCTTCCACCTGCTCCATCCTTTTGCCCTTCGGTCAAAGCAAATTGTGACTAAGCATCCAAAGTCAAAGCCCGTCGCACCTCCCCCGTCGGACCGTTTTTCGCTGCCGCTGCTTTTCCCCCCCCCAAACGTCCCTCTCGTGATGCTCAGCTACGAGCGAGCGTCTGTGCACGTGTGCGCGCGTCACCGACAGTGCAGGAGAACCAACCGAAGCTCAAGGATTCCTCAAGCTGCAGATGCACATGATGCACACAGTCTAAGAGGGACGCTTATGTGCGTCAACCTAAATGTATCTATGCGAGGCCTTGAAGTAGAAAAGTGACAGCAAAGGATGGCCGACATTACTCAACTTTGTTTTGGCACGGTTTGCGCCTTGCACTGGGTCTCCGTTGACGTCATATACCAAAAACCTCCTCCCCCCTATCTTTTCACCTGAGCGTGCAAGTCTCCCCTGTAGAGGTAGACACTTTGCACGGTGCACACACTCACAGGCACGCTCCAACTCCTGCCAAATAGGCGACTAAAAATAGATACAATCGGAATGTATCACGATATTGTGATGAAGCATATGTCTGTGAAATGCGCACAATACAAATGGATAACCAAAGGATTGGAATTCTTTTACGACAATTATTCCATTGAAGATTTTTATTTGAAACAGAAGCAATGCAAACATGCAAACAATATGAAAAGCTGCATTAACATGTTGAACAGGAATGTTGTGCGATGGTTATTTGATGACTGACAATCGGATTGGAGATCATCTGTGTTTCTTCGCACTTTAATGGGGCCCTGAAATTTACACAAATAAAATTGGTTCAAAGATTGCGACTTGTGCTTTTTTTAATCCACAATGTTAAATGTCTGTTTGCTTTATTAGGACAATGTTCTCACCTGCGTTTGCTCCTGGAGGTCTGGGCAGGAACAACCAGGCTGCGTGGCCCCTCGTCCGACTGGCAAATTAGAGGACAACTGACGGACCTTGGATCCTTTCTTGTTGTGGTCCTTCAACGATATGTCGTATAACCTCTCAGAAAGGATGGGTATAATTATGTAAGGAACAACTTCACTGTATGTTTCCTCTATTTACACCTGGCTCAGTACTCAGACTTGTTGAGTCTGGGGATGTTTAATGACTAACTGCGTATTGTGTTCAATTACAAATGAATCAATTTACTGTCTCCTTCCTCTGAGAACATTTCATTATCTCTAATAATGTCTCCAGTTGTAAGCCTGTTAATGTTGTTAATCTCTACCCATTTTTCAGTGCTGTGACTAAAGATCTGAAAACAAGGGTCAAATATTAACCAGACTACATCCAAGTATTCTGCAATTATATTTCATAAGGTACATGGCATTACCTAAGTTTGAAAAAGAAAACAGGCTGAACGGATTTGACGCTTACTCAGGGAACTGGTGATTAGTTACATAAGGCTCCAGGATCTAAGGATACAAACCATAAGGAAAACATTTCTGAGTTATTGAAAGGATATTAGCAGTGACAGGCAGGTAGAGGATGTCTGTCTCAGTGTTGATGATGATGTCATAGGAGAAGCACTTCTTGGGCTCTACCTCTCCTGCTTGAGCCACACACATGGCAAAGAGCTGAACCCGCAGCTCAACCTGCAAACCTGCAGCCACCTTAGACAGACAGACAGTTCAGTGCACATGTGGCTTTTTAAATCTTAATCACGTAAACACAACAAATACAATTGATAGGAATACATATTTAAATTAGAATATTGACGTTAAAATGTAATAATAACAGCCATCTGAAGACTTACAGGTCCAGGATTGTAGATGACCCGCAGACCTGTAGCAAGAAGAGGTTGTTTCACATGGAATCTGGTGAAGAAATGGAATGAAAAAAAAAAACGCAAACAGCTACAGGTCAGAGTTTTGCCTTGGGACTTGAAGGTGACCCACAAATAGCCTGTTTCTATCCGCAGCACTCAGTTCTTTCTTTCATAGTAGAGGACATTAAAAAGAAAGAAAGAAGGTGTACTAAAATAATAATCATTTTCCTTATTTCCCTGGGTTTGAAGCCCATAATTTGCCTTTGGGTCTTTTTTCATCCACGCTTCCATTTATCTATAATGTGGCATCTCACCTGCAGGTGTCAACTCCCACATTCTTCATCACCACAATAACGGTTGAGAAGGTGCCCTCCTGCAGTGCACCAAAGTCAACACTGGAGGGGACGAGATGGAATCCCCTCACTATGACATTTGGATCAGCCAGAGAACTAGTTCGACACATCCTCCTCACTGGCTCCTTCACTGAGAGGAACTGGGGTAGGAGACAAACTGATGCATGAATACACGTTTGTGGGCGTGCGACTGAGAGATAGAAAATCACACGCACAAAGAATGAAACAGGAACCCATATTTTTCACACTAAAAAAGTATGACAACAGAATGTCTGGGGCAAAATGGATCACATTACTGATCAGTCATCAAACACAAACAGTTTGATTTTTTTTAAGACATATACAGTGGAATATAACAACTACCGGTATGTCACTTTAAGCTCCCTTCTACTATTTCTAGACAGTTTATCCAACAGGAATTACCTTTAGAATACTCTACATTAGCATTTATTTAGACGATATTGAATTACTTGGTTGTCTTTGAATTGAATGGATTAAAAAAAAATCGCTCTTAGAGTGTAAAGGATTTCAATGAAAAGCTGATGATTTTTGGCTGGTTTAAAAAAAAAGGTTTGGAATTAATACTGATGAGCTAAAAAAAAAGCAAATGAGATCATCCGCAAGAAGATTGATTATTTTCCATGGTTATTCCTTAATGCCTTTCACCCCTGCAGCAGGGTAGGTGTCACACAAGGAGATTAACAGCACCCTGCAGAAACAGCTCCGCTTTTTTTTTTCCACACCAAAGATTAATCGTAAATTACACATCTGACATTTAAAAGAAGGAGGGTGAGATTTTGTGACAACCCTACTTACACTTGTAAAGGACAAGATCAGCAAAGTGATAAATCAACCGCCCGGCTTTGCCCACATCGGGCCACCAAAGCTGACAAACCCCTAAAGTTCCTCACAAAAACTTTTGAGTTTTGAACATAACAAAATGTTTAAGAATTCAAAATGAGCACAGGGCACTCGACATGTATTTTAAGTCATTTTCATATAAGTCGACATGTATTTTAAGACATTTTCATATAAGTCGACTTTTTTGTCAGAATTTTTATGTGCAATGATGATTTGAGAATATTTGTGATGTGAAAGTTTGGGTACCCGTTGATTTGGAACACTGCAGGGTTTCGAGCTGAGGATAGAGGTTGGCAGCCTGACTTTGGTCCTCCTAGGCTTTCCAGTCACATCCACCTGGACTGACTTATTTTGCATAGATGAACCCCGAAGAATGCTTTCACCTGCAATGGACACACACATGTACACACACACACACACACACACACACACACACAAGACATACAGACAAACAGCCATCAATTCAATCATGTAACTTCAATTCCTCAATCCACCAAATCTGCAGAACAGACATCCTGGAAATGATCTGATCCTCAGGAGACTGTTAATCATTTAAACACTTGAAGTAGGTTGTGCTTTGTACCAACACAAACAATAGACCAGGTTTAATTAGAATTCACACTATGGCCTACAACTGTCTAGTCAAAATCCTGTGTTATTCCTGAACTATTGTAATGTTCTGCAACCCTGAGCCTCTTGTTTTCTGTCTGGCACTGGCTATTTGCATTCTATTTATAAGTGATGTCTTTAATTGGGTAATTTGTTTGAATACAAAACAGCAGAAGAAGAAGATGGGGTGCAAACCAGCAGTTTGAGGCTCTGGGTTGGTGGGTCTTTTTGGAAGCATCCTGCCACTTGCTGCTGCATGACTGGAAAAAAAAGTACAGGAGAGGTTAAGCTGTGTCACAACAGCAGACTTAAACATAATAAACACTTGAAATACAAACACAGTAAAAACAGTAAGATCCACTTCATTACCAGGCAGACTGAGAGGGTGTTGGGTTTAAGGGTCGTGGGGCTGCAGGTAAAAAAAACAAAACAGTTTAACACTATGTATTGTAAGTATAGTAAATTATGTTCGATCACCTCCAATGTCCCTTAAAATAAATTCTCTTTTGATTAAATTACCGTAAGCCTCAGTTTACCTGTGCAGACCTCACCAACACGTATTAAAAAAACAGTTAATATAGCATCACCTTGTAGGTACTGACAGTATAATAACATACTTGTTTCTTGTGGGGCATCCTTCAGAATGACCTCGACACTGTCTGACCTCAGGATTGGTGGGAGGGCCATGGATAGACTCTTCATGTCTGGTCTCTGGTGCTGTAGCTAAAACAAACAATTCCATAACTCTGAATGTGCATTGTTTGTTATGTTGAGAAAGAAACGTTAAAACCGTGTATTGTCTACACGTACTGTCGAAGTGGACACATGCAGTTCCTGGTATAACTGATCATTTTCTGGGTGGAAAAAAGGAACAATGTTCTTCTTCCTCAGAGCCTCTCTGTACGCCTTCTCCTCCGATATTTCCTGTCTGACATATATGTACACAGAGAGAGAATGACTGATGAGCTAACAGGCACCCGTATAAACACAATGTACTTGTAGCCATGGACACACCTTTATTTTCCACGATTAGTTATTATCTATAATGCTATCTTAGCTGTTCTTCAGTAGCCGCTGTAGATGTTGTTGTCGTGTGGTGTGACTAGTGAATAATTCTTTATTAAGAATCCCAAAAGAGTGTGAAATATAAACAAACATTTACCTGCATTGTGCAAGTCTTCCAGTCCATTTCGACTTCTTTCCACTTGTGAAACTACATAGAAGAGTGTGTTCAAGAGGATATTTTCAGAATTGATGAAAAACACAGATGTGTCACATAGGATTTAATTGTTTGTTCATGCACACAAATTTCATTTCTTCCACCTGTCACTAGATACTGTGTCCATGTTCTCGGAAACATCCAACTCTGTTGGGGCCTCAACGTCTTGGCTGTAAAGATTATGTATGTCCACTGTGGGTACATAAAGAAGGAAAAAGAAGATACATAAACACTTCATTGCATGTTTATTGAGTGTGTAATACATCATTTTTTTTATAAGATTTTGACCTTGGGTAAAAAACCTTTTAATGCACTATCATTTGTTGGATTTACATTTCAAAGTGACTGAAAAATTCCCACTAACTGATTAAGAATATATTCTACTATTTCAAAATGATTTCAATTTAGTAAGTATGTTAACACATTGTGAAAAAAGGAACAACTGTTCAAAGACAGCTTATACAACTGTAAACACTCAGTCATGTACCTGATGTCCTCTCGAGGAAGGTTTGACAAGCGTCCTCTTCTTCTGCAAAAGACTATATAAATACATTTTTAATAATCAACAATAATGATATAACTTTATTACTTGCAGAATTTTGTCAAAAGTATTTATGTAAGTATGCAATGCAGAAATGTCCCTTAGGAACACCCCAAGTGGAACTACATTGTTTATGCATTATACAAATATCTGTGTGTATGTGTGTGTGTGTGTGTGTGTGTGTGTGTGTGTGTGTGTGTGTGTGTGTCTGACCAGGACTAGGTTGAGCAGATCACTGGCATGAACACTCTCCTCCTCAGTGCGAGGGTCTTTGATTTTCATCTCTTCTGATCTCTGCTCCCTCTCCATCAAACTCTGGATGTATACCTGCAGTGGAAGACAGATTCAAACAGCACACTTTTAACCACTCACTCTTATCATTTTTCCATATCTATTAAGACAAATATGGTTGGTTAACCTACGACGTGTGACTGTCTGTACCTTCAGTCGAGAGTCTATAGTATTTCTGAGAGGAGTGGTGATTTGTCTGTACTGGTACAGTTCCCTCATCTCCAGGACTTTCGGGCAGCTCCTGACAGGTTCACGCTGTGCTACTGAACCACCAGATCTGTCTCTCAGAGTCAAACCTCGTCCCAGATCAGAGCCAAATGGAGGCCCTGTGCTCCTATTCTGGATTAGAGAGAGAAAACAGAAGGAGGAACATGTCTCTGTTTGGCCCTTAGTTGTTAGTCTGTCAGTTTATATAAAATATGTGTGAACCTGTACCTCTGTTCTAGGGAAGTCATGCCAGGTACGGTTTCTGAGGTTGGGAGGGGTGATGTCAGGGTTCTGTTTCCCTAGCAACCACTGGGACCACACACTCTGTTGGCTGGGCTTTAGGATGGTAATGGCAAACTCATCTGAAACAGTAACAACCAGAAGCTTCATGTTATTTTCCTGACCTGAGTCTGTTCCTCCACAGATCATGGAGAGATCAAAGTGAACTCAACTAAGGAGTCAGTTACTTAAAAACACAAAATACTGTTTTCAAAAAAAGCTAGCTAAATCAAATAATCAAAGAGTTGTAACTGAATCAGCCTTGCTTAAGTCCTAACTCATCAGTATTTATGTTTCTTGATGTTACAAATACAACAATGCACCTTGTATGTCTGGCAGCGGTTCCTTCAGCAGGGCTATGGTAGGGTCAGAGTACGCCTGGTAGTGCAGTTCCTCTACAGTTTGAGAGCTCAGTAGTTCAGTACCCGAGCCATCCTCATGCACTACAAACAACCTAGAACACAAGACATGCTTTAATAACTATGATGGTGTGGAAAAAAAACGAATTACTGCTGACTTCTATCCCACACACAATAAATCATGTTTCATTCTAAGTAATAGATAACTGTTTAGTTCAGTTTAAAAAACAAAAGTATTTGTTCTAACCTGGGACAATGTTCTCCATGTTTTACATGAACCCTCGCCAGTTCTCTGTCCTCCTCTTCCTCTGGCTCCTCCTCATCATGTTTCAGTGTGCTGGGAGCAGGGCTGAAGTTCAACACTGATAACCGCCCATCTTCCATCACCTGCAACACACACTCAAACGCTGATATTTGGTTTCCTTTACACTTTTGTTCCATCTTTCCAAAATGAACATACAGTATTAGACTTGTACTTGTACTTCTCGATTGTTTTGTTTATCTTTACTTGGATCATGCCTATGAGTTCCTGATTGAGATTACTCATTGAAATGAGGGGTTGTCTATTTGTAACTGCCTTTTAGTGATTCATGTGCATGATTTTGTGTATTGTTACTGTGTGTATATTCTTAATTATTAGTTTTACAAATGTAAGTGTCCACATTATTTTCTGTATGTCAATGATGTGTTTCTTTAACTTTGTGAATTTTTAACACCAAATGACCGTCTATCTTCATGTACTTAAAGCCGACCTGGAAGTGGTTCCCGTCGGGGTCTGTAATGTCACAGGCCACTTTGTCCGTGTGGCTCATTGTGTAGCTTCCTGGTTGGTTTGTTGAAGTGCTATCATGAGGACTGGGGGTGACAAGTGGGTCAGAGTAGTACACACACTTCCCATCACTTTGGATCTGCAGGAGCCCCACACTGGAGGGGAACACCTTGGATATAGGGATAGACACAAAAATAAGAGGTTATGAGGCAGTGGAATTATTGATTAAAGATGAGATCATCACATAAATATAGTTGAGTTATTTGCTGGAAATCACAAACCTGATAGGCTGCTTGGTTGTTCCCAGTGATGACTGTTCCATCGGCTAAGAAGACATGAGCTGCGTGTCGTTCTGGGTACATCGCCACCGTGGTGCAGCCCTCCTTCTCCACCAACACCACCAGCTCTTTGGTTGTCAAACTCCCCTTATTGCTCTCGCATGCGCTCATCTTACCGTTCGCCTCGGCACACACGCTTGCCTCTTCATTCTCATGCGTGCAATGTTGTCTTTCATCACACACATGCTCACACTCAGCCTGTCCAGCAGCCTCCTTTTCACTACCCTTGCTTGTTTTTTCCTCATGACCACAAGTGTCCTGGAGGTGCACTTTCTCACTGATGCTGTCCTCACGGCGTGTGACACACACACACTCAATGCAGCCACACGCACAACCAGATGATGATCTAAGGGTCACACTCTCAGGCTGCTCCCCTGGAAAGTTAACAGATGCCGGAACACAAGTAAGATAAAACACAGTCTACTTAAATTGAAGAATAAGCTCACGTTTGTGAGCATGCATACTTTTTGTATCAAATACATCAGTAAAAGCAGAGCCAAGAATTCTGTAAAGTGTGTATGCCCCGGATGCTGGTCACCTGTGTTTATCAGCAGGTGTAGTGGTGCACTTGATGGTCGGTCTTGGTAGATACTGGTGATCCTGGTTCCATCTGCATGTTCTACACTTCGATATCCGTCAGGGTCCTCGACAGAAACCACCAGGTCTTCTCGGCTCAGCATCACCTGACACAAAAACAGAATATTTATTCCAATTCAATCACAAGCGTTTAAAGGACACGGCTGCAATCTCTCCCAAACTAAGATGGCCAGAGAAGACACAAAACATTACATTTTAACTGTCCACAGTCCAGACCAACGCTAACCTCTGTACAGTCTACAGTCATGCTGTGCTCTTACTTCATGGGTGATGGGGTCTGTAGCCTTAAAGACAAGAATAGGTGGGGTTGGTATGTGTTTGTGTGTGGTCCCCACAGTGTGGATTCGAGCTCCAGATGGAGTCGTAGTTATCCAAAATCCACTCTGAGAGTGAGTTTCCTTCTCCGTGCACTGTTCTGTTAAATTTCACAGAAAATATACAATGACAGAAAGAGAAAATGAACGGGGTTCCCATCATTTTGAACGTAGGGTGGATGGACAGATTTTTATTATTTTTACATTCTTACCTTTATTTGTGCCCTCAGTTTTCTCAGAGGTGTTTTCCTCCTCAAGATCAGAGTCGGGAACCCACACTGGACCAGAATCTTGGCTGAAACTGACTGAGCCATCTGCAAACAGAACCTGCAAAGCACATGTGGTTAGTTTCCTTGTGTGAATGTGTGTGTGTGGTTAAAAAAATAACACAGTCGATGGTTCAGATTTGCTTGTAAAACTTCCAAAACAAAACAGCTGTGCATCTTCTTGTAGGTATGCCTCCAAATCATGAAGATGTGTGTACAGTATGATCACCTCAGTGGACCCATCTCTCATGTATCGTATCACAGCTCCCTGGCTGGTGACAATGCGGGACAGTTCTTTGCAGAGGGAAGGGTCCTGAAGCTGCCCTGCTGGTCCCCTTCCATGAAGAGGAAAGCATTGCTTCACCAAAACACCCTGCTCCTCTGGGGACACGCCTGAACACACAAACCCCCCCCCCACATATTAAATAAATAAATGATACTGCTAGACTCTTGTGACATTGACCAAAGCGGTAAATGTGCATTACTGACCTTTTGTTTTCTCTCTCATAAACTGCAGAAATAGACCATTAGGAAGAGACAAGTTGAGACTGTTGAATGGAGTTGATGTCAATGTTGGCTGGCCTTCACCCTCCTTAGAACGCACAGAAAAATCTGTGTTATAATTAATATTCACACATGTTTCTTTCTCTTCTTTTATGGATTTGTGTGCATATGTTGGGGCCTTAGATGTTAAGTGTTATGTATGACACAGTTATGTGTCTTTGTAGGAACTGAAACCAGGTCAGGCACCTTTGAGTGTTGGGAGGAGGAGGAGGAGGGAGGAATGGGGAGGAAGGTTGAGGTCTCTGGGGTCCCTCCTGCTTTTTCCAGGTCACTCACTATAACATCACCAAACAAGACATTTAGTATACTGCGTGTTCTATGACACATTTTCACCCCGTTTACTGCAAATCGAATGAATTAAATACTTGGAACACTATTACTATGAACTTTAAATAAAGATTGAGGTATTTTTAGCCCACCCCGCAAAGTCTAAAAGACTGTATGTGTTGAAGAGTAACACCTTTGTACTCTCCTGTGGGACCATAAAAACTGTATGAGAGGTGAATTCCATTGTCTAATACTGCTGACAGGGATCCCTGCTTCACTATTTTCTTCTCCAGAGGCTCTGACTCTGAAGGACAAAAAACACACAGAAACACACAAAGGTCAACTTTGTTTCTTAAAGAATCCACTAAATGCCATTACAGTCTTTCAAACATTGATCAAATAAACCATTAAAGTGCAGGACTGCTTCATGTCCGTGGTATAATCAGCATTTTTACCTTTAAAATCTTTGACATTGGACTCTTTGTCTGCGACCTGACGGGGAGGTTCTGCTTGATCAACAACAACTTGGTTGACGTGTGTGCAGAAATGATGCCCATCCTTCCTCACGGCCACTTTCATCAGTCTGGAACCTTGAATAAAAACGCTCAAATAAAATGGCCGCATGTGAAAAAACACTGATCACAAGCACTGGGTATCATGAGGAGTAGCTGGTTTGCACTTTGCTTTCACAAAACAAACTCAACCTACAACAGCAGACATGCCTAATTAAACCAAACAGTACAGAAATGTCCAAAGAAATCCTTTGTGCTGTAGTTCTCTGTGGTGATTTGAGAGAACGTAGAGAAGCCGTGTGCTGGGGATGTTTGCTGTAATTCAGTGGGGTCATTCATATTTAGAGCTTTTCCTCAATTCCATCTCAATACCTTCAACATAGCTGATGTTCTCCGCAGCGATGTGTCCTCCATCTGAAGGGAAAAGGTACTGTACACGACCTGACACATGAATCAACTTTCCATCCACGCTGTAACCTGTGAAACGCTGCAGATAACAGATAAACAGCCAATCACATTCACATAGTAACCTTTCAGCAGATATAACTTGTCGTGTTATTTGAACATTCTGGTGATAAGTAGTGAATGCACACTGAAACTCGGCTCAACAATAATTTTGCGTATGACCTCACATTGAACGATTCCTCCGTTGGATGCTGTTCTTTATTTTCCTCAGCAGGGGGCACTTTGGTAGTAATGGACTCTCTCGGAGTCTTGGCAGAGCTCTTTGCCGCCTCTGCTTTGCTTTTCTTGCCACCAGTCGAAGCTTTACTTTTCTTGTCGTCTACGGACTTAGCCTCCTCTTTCTGCTGCTTGGATTTCTGTGCGTTGTCCTTTTTTGATTTTTTGGTCGTCTCCTCCTCCCTCAGACGCTCCTGCTCTAACTTCCAGGCCTGTGACATCATGCACACAGAGAAAAAAACAAACCTTGCAGATTTAAAACAGTTTGAAACAGGCTACTTTAAAAAGATTTGTCAAGTGAACTGTAGTGATCCCCTTATGGACATCAATGTTAGTAAATACATTACATTTAGTATTTTGCTGTATAAATAAAGATTCAGTCTGGCCTTCTGGAACTATTTGTGATATTAATATAATCTGCACATCTCTGTGAGTAAACTAACTCACAAGGCAAGACAGTGATTGGACTTTTATCTAGTTGTGTAAGGAGATTTCTGTAAATGGTCCAAAGAGCTATTACAATCATGACAAAGAAAGCGAGTGGTCAATGTGTTAGTTTGTACTGACTTTAAGAGAGTCTTTTCTTATAACTGGCTCCACAGTGTCCTCCTCCTCCTCCTCCTTGGCAAAATCTTTAGCCTTTTCCTCTAGACAAAGAAAAAAATATATTATTCACGTGTACGGCTGCACACATAGTTCCCTTATTAGGAATTTAAGATGACAAGCTATACCAAGCAATACCTGTTGGCGACTCGGTTGATGGACTTTGATTTTGGAGCTGGACTGCTTCTCTTTTCATTTCCTCCTCGTTGGTCCAATCTGAAATTATTTCCGCAACATACTTCAGGTACTTCCTATCAAAAGAAAGAAAGAAAACAGGTTTCAATCTCTTTGTAAAACTACATACACACACACACACACACATACACTTTCACTCATCGGGTTATAAAGGTTACAGACTGATAAAAGCCAGGAGAACTGCAGTTTGCTGCCACTTAAAGGAAGTGTTTTTTTTTTTCTCTCGCTTTCTCACACTGCAACAACATATTACGGTTCATGCCCCTGGAGAATTAAACACCTGAAAATGTCAACTTCTACTCTGACCTGAACTTGACATCCGTGTGAAGGGTTACATCCCAGAACTCCTTGCACTGGCGATAAGGGCTCATTGGATTGTGACAAAAAATGTACAGGATGTTGTTCAGACTTCCTCTGAAAGTGTCCAGGCAGCAGTATTCATCTGAGGCGGACTGGAGAACCTACATATGAGGAAAAAACTGTTTGTAAGTCAAATCATTAAAAACTGTAAATGGAAGGGGGTTTTGTTGACTTAAGATTTTTAAATGAACATTTAAAATGTTTTAAAGCCATGGTGCAAAGTATTTTAGTTTCAATTATTCTTGAGAGAAAAAACCCAAAGATTTTTACATTATGTCAGAACATAAATCACCTAAATTGTGCCACACAAAACTCGACTCCCACTGCTTTCCACATTTACAGGCTTCATGCAAGGAGAGCTAAGCTTTTAATGTGAAGTGGCTGCTGTAAGTATTATGCCATGGTGGATTACGCTTTAACACAACTCACACACAGCAGGTACAACAGTTGCCTGATGCTGACACTGAATAGATACCCTGAACGACAACATAAGACAGGTCACCTGTGGGAAGATGGAGGCATTGTGGTGTTCAGCATAGTGCCAGTCAAAGAGAGATCTCAGCCTGCAGCTTTGGATGTCTGATAGGTCCGGCTGGCAACAAACGCTCCCGCAAATCTGATGGAGAGAAAACAGCATGTGACACTAGTAGGAAGGGAAATTATAATGTAAATATATCACTGAAATAATACCTCTGTATCACCAGGATTTTCTGTAAGGAATGTTGGACCTATAATGCAATACATAATGTGATATGATGCAGAAGGTCAGTACAGTGTCACATGAAGTCAGTTGGTCAAAAGTTAAAACATTGCATTAACTGAATGAAAGAAACAGACCCTTAGTTTTGAGATGATTTAGCTGCTGTTTGGCGTAGGATGGCGGGTTGTCCCAGGGAATTATCACAGGCGTCTGTCGCTGTGCTGGTTTATTGCTCCCTGTAGTCCAGGAGCTTGTAGTGCTGCACCCTTTTGGTCCAGTTTGGTCAGAGGCATACTTTCAAACACACTGTGACGGAAAAAACGATCTACCTCTGGCCACGACACAACATCTGTTTGACATCAAAACATCAAAATGACTTTTGTGAAGAGATCAGGAGATTTACACGACAACAAGTTGCCAAAAAAACTCAGAGATAGAGCTACAGGCTAATCAACAACGGTCATCAAGTGTAATCTGAGCAAAGGTTGGTTTCTCTGACAGGTAACTGGTGTCTGACCATCTGTGCAGTAATGATGTAGCTGATGTTTGATTGCCATCCAACAGGAGTTGCTGTTTCTCTGCTTAGCGACAGAACAGATGAGCTTCCACACAGGAGAGAGCCTCATCATCGAGGATTCCACCTCTGCTGGATCAAAACCTTCGACTGCCTGAAAGGGACAAACAGACACACACAAAACACAAACAACAACGGTCTGAAGTTTAGAATAAACTAGGATGAACGAGGGCAAAGATTACATCAAAACTGCGACATACATGGTTTGAGCAAATTCTACACGTACACAGCTGCAAATATAAACAAAATGGACTTGCATTGATATCCCTCAAACGCAGTGCCCTCTCATCGTGGTGCCTGATAACCAGGGGGTGCTCAAACTTGTTCAAAGACTCATCTGATCCAAACTTCCCAAGTAGCTTCTTAAAAAAGGAAAAAAATGAGAATAAAACAGACAAAGTAGTGCATTTCTTGAGAGTAGATTTTACACTCTAGAGTCATACAAGAATCAATGTTTCCTGTAAGTTTACCAGATTCATCAGTAGTTTCTTTTATTTCTTTTGATCTTATTATACTACTTGACTCCTGCTTGTGTGTGATGCTGCTCTTTGCTGTGATTATAGCACCATCTGCTGGACATACCTTGTGTGTTTTTAATGGCTCAGCTATGCTTTTATATTTAGCACCTTTAAATATAACATAAACAGTAATATGTTCTGCTATAAAAAACATTTTTTAATCAAGAGGCATGATGTAAATAAAAGTGATACAATGCTCTCTTTTTTAGTACAAAGATTTTTCAGTATCTAACAAGTTGTTTTTTTCCCCTCTCACATGCTGCTTAAGACAACAGAGTAGGTCCCCCTCCCCCTCCCCCCCCCGCTGAAACACGACTAAACCCAGAGTGCTCGATGTGTGCTGCAGCGTGAGCAGAGCGTGACAATGTGGCTGCAGATTGACTAGTGACCATAAAGAGCCGGTGAATAGCTTTGCGTACGGGAACACGAGCCCCTCGAACGTTAACAGAATTCCATAGACCGCTCCTGGAGAAGAAAAAAACAGTATCCTGCATTGGCCGGGAATCGAACCCGGGCCTCCCGCGTGGCAGGCGAGAATTCTACCACTGAACCACCAATGCTTCAGATAGAACCACTGACGCTGCGTGACGTTTTGTAAGTTCTGTACAGAATGAGAGACGGTGCTTATGTGTGGATTTGTGTATGGCCAATACCTTCCTGTCTTCCTCACTTGTGCTTTAGTCAACAAGCTGTTTAATAGCTGGCTCTTCTCCTCTTCAGTGTGTAACAAAGGCAGGAAGCTTTCGAGCATGAAGCTCAGCAGCTTGTAGTCTAACCCGGGACCATGGCGAGGTTTGGGCTTCTCAGCTACATGGGGAGGGACGAACTGCTCTGTTGAAATCACGACCTAAACACACAAATTCACAAGTATAGAAACAACAACTTGAGCGAGGTTGATCTACAAAGGTCTCCCCCTGTCTTGTAGGCCTGCAGACTAATAAATTAACAATATTCTTGATGCTATTCAAATGTGAAAAATCATTTTATCCTTCACACAGAATGCACAAAGACCTGTTCCAGCATGCAATGCAAGATTAGAGGCACCGAGCAGGCTTCAGGGTTAACCAGGTCAAGTAGGTTGTTATAGTAACGCATGTCCACGTCCGTAGAAAGAGGAGGCAGCTTTGTTCCTGTCGTAAAGAAAAGAGGACAGAGTTCGTTTCTCAACTAAGTCTGAGTTTTTTTAAATGAAACACAAGGATATATGAGATAGAGGACTACCTCAAAGAAAGGTTTTTACCTTGTACTTTTGAGTTCTCCTCTTGTGCTGATTTCTTAAGAAAACACACAGAGAAGGTATTTTTTTTTTTATATCTATACTATATCCTAGACATTTAATATATACCCGACAATCATGCCCATAATACTGTTTAAAAGCAAGTTATTGTCCGTTTTCAGAAAGTCAAGTCAAATGTATTTATAAAGCACATTTAAAAACAGCTACAGCTGACCAAAGTGCTGTACAATACATTAAAAAAGAAAAAACAACTTCAGATCACAACGTCCACAAGAGATAAATATATATGTATATATACATATATACAAATAAAAAGAAATAATATATAAAGAAAGCAACAAAATAAAGAAAGCAACAAAGGAACCTGAAAGAAATGGTCTATTCAGGACCAGGGGACTCAAATGCTAAAATATAAAAGTATCCTACAATGGTGTCTAGACGCAACCCCGCCTCCCCTCCCCTCCCCCCTCCCCTGCAAGCTATACAATCGTGTTTAAGTCTACAATGGAATGTGAAGCAGAGTGGCGCAGCGGAAGCGTGCTGGGCCCATAACCCAGAGGTCGATGGATCGAAACCATCCTCTGCTATGTGTTTTCTTTGTTCAGGGAAGCTGTTTTTTGGATTGCAGTGTTTTAAAATATATACATTTTAAATAATATACATAATTAACGTAATGGTAAGCTTCTGCCTGACTCTATTTGTCCTGGTTCTCATGTGTGTATATGTGTACCTCTGCAGGCTGTGGATCCAACCGAACAACAGTGGGCACACTGATAAGTTCGATGTTGTCCAGGTAGTGCTGATGTTGCCTACGCCAGTCCAAACAGTCATAGATAAGATTGGCCACACCCTCAAAGATTTGGCTTCCTATTTCGAGCTGGACACACAGATTAAAAAAAAAAAAATAGGGCGTACTTTATGTCAAACACAGTGTAAAAAGTAACAGAGCAAAGACAGTGGTGAATATTGGAATGTGGTTTCAAAATGATAAAAATTTGGTTGAGAAAAAAAAACAGTGAAAAGAAAATCAACAATGAGACAATATCAACAGGATCAACTCACCTCAGCCTCAGGGTCTTGTTTGTCAAAGGGAGGAAAGAGGTCTGGGACAGTGTAGCTGAGCTGAACCAAATCCTGGAGCTTGGACTCTGGAGGCCCGCTGTCCAAAACCGGTCCCAAACTAGACCAGAACAGATCCAACTTCCTAGCCTGTGCAGCCAGCTCAACATCATCATCAACCTCAACTTCAGTCACACAGGAAACAAAATGACGTTATGCAGACAACAACTTCCACACAAATAGTCGTTCATAGTTTGGACGTGACGTTATGTATATGATTTACTAAAAGCCCTATACCTGGATCCAAACCCGGAGACTCTGCAACTTACCGTCACATGTTTGTTTTACCGGCAGCTCCTCTGAAGTTTGTGCGGGCGTAGAACACAATTTGATGACATTGGCTACATGTACACCTATGGCATCAAGGGCCTTAATCATGTGGGGCCGGTAAAAACCCAGAACCAGAATGTAATGCTGAGGACCATCTTCTGGTTCATCATCTATGCCCCAAAACAAATGTGTTCAAAACATTATTTTACATTGTATAATGACACAAAACAAAGTGGATTAATCCATTAATCTCTTGTCCAACAAACATATACACACTACCACTCTTTACACAAGAGAGCAAAGCAGAAAACAAGTGTTTGTTTGTTGTTACCTATAAATGAAGGTGGCTCAACATCATCCCTGCATTTAAGCTTGGTCTTCTTATCCTTAGGAGGTCCCACAGGTGAAGGTGCACTCTTTCTCTTTTTGTCAGGGGTTTTGGCCCCTCCTTTATCCTTGGCAGAGGGAGGTCCGGCCTTTTTTTGTTCCTCCTCAGCCTTGACAAGACAGAGACAAAATTAAGAAAAAGTCCCTGAGATAATTTTCTTTTTTTTCTATTCAAATCTAAGTCACAGCAAAGCATGTTTTACAGTACTTTAAACGTTTTTGCCACAAATTCCTTATGTCAAAATTGTTTAATTGAGAATACTGCAGCTCTAACTGGAGTTAAAATACATACCAGTTCTTTCCATTTCTACATTATAATAATAAACACATGAAGTGGCATATTAAAAAAAAACTGACATGCTCAGTTTCCCTCCTCTGCAGATCCGTAGCTTTAATCTGTAGCAGCTGGAACTTCAGTATTTTTGCCATCAGGTCACAGGGAATCTCCTCCCCAGCATCCAGCAGCACCTTCGCTGGCTCTGTCACCTGTAACAGATACATTTCATGCATTGACTTTTTACGTGATTTGAACAAAAACAAGGAGTTTCCCAATTAACATCACACGCCTACCTCGTAAAACATGGGGATATCATCAGGTTTTTTGGCTTTGGGATTCCCCAGCTCTTGGATCTGTAATAAAGTGAAAAGGTGAACTCTGTTGTTTTGAAAAAGATACAGTAAAATGTACATAGAAAATCAATGCATAGCTGAAAAAGTAAGACTTAGACTGAGTCTGAAGTGTAAGTGACTAAAATAAATGAGCTTATAAACCCAGAACCTATGGTTGTAGATTTTATTTAATGTATTTTGTTTACATGTTACAAGATTTAAAAAGGGGAAAGCCACACACATGAGGTTTGAGTGATAACAAGTTAATGACAGTGCAAAGTTCCTGTTGTCTTTTAATTAGCTTTAGAACTACAGTATAATTCAGATGACAATATCAACAGCAATCAGAGAAGAGTGCAAGAGAAACTACATTAATAGATCATTTGAAACGAACAAAGAATACCTTTGCAAGGGTGCTGTCCCAGGTCAGCAAGCTGAAGAGTTTGCGTAGAGGTTTTTGAGCAGCTAGAGCCAAAGCCTGGATCAGGTCCTCCTCCTCTGGACTTTTTCCAACCAAGAAAGACACACAGGCCTGCCATGATTCCTGGAGGACATTAAAACACGTTCCTGCTAATGCACGTCCATCAACATGGGAAACACCGACAGGTCATAGGCTACTGATTAAAGAGCCAGTAGGCGATGTTCCTATTTTCTCTACAAAGATAAATGCAGACTAAAAAAAGATAATGTACCAAAACAGACAAAAAAAGATAATAAATACACATGAAATGATTACTTAGAATATTGCAGCTTAAAATAAACTAAAACGGAGGATAAAGGACAGGTTAAAAAAAAACAACTTATGAATGACAATGATGAAAGGAGGATCCCTTAAAGTCTTTAAACAATAAAAGAATGAAGTCATTATTTTAGTCCATAACAGAAGCAGCAGCAGCCTGTTCTTAAATGACAAACATGGAGCACCTTGTTCAACTTCATTAAAGGTTTCACTAATGAGGAAATAGGCTAAACAGTTAGTTCAAGAGAAGTTTTCCCTTCAAGTGTTTATCTGTAAAATGATGTGTGAACAGGACACAAAGTGTCTCTGCACATGAGACACTTTAACAGGGCAGATAAGTGCAGATCAGAAATGTGTTGGGGCTTTCCTCTCGTGCAGATATGAAACTATGATGCTTTTGGCACATCATCATCTTCACATTGTCCTAAAATATCAGCACCCTGAAGCACAGAGAAGCACACTGACTTGGAGGAAGCTGTGTCTGCAGAGGAAAACACTACTTTCTACTTTCATGATTTTTTCGCGCAGGCTGGTCTCGAACTCGTTAATTTGAGAGTTTAATCTCGAAATTTGAGATTTTTTTTTTTTTTTTTACGTGACCCTAATCCTCCGTTTTAAAAACGACACAATATAATCTTGAAAGTTTTACAGGAGATTCATGCATCAAGTTACCAAGCGTATACTTCCTTTCAAAATACTTATTTTTATTTGCATTTTTTTCCCCACACACGTTATTCATTTTATTTTGACGTAGCCGAGCTAAAAAAAAATGACAGTGGAAGTGAGTTAAGTGATAAAAGAAAAAAAAAGAAAAATGACCACACCAGTACATTTCTACAGAAGAAATAATAAACATACAAACCTCTTCAAACTGTGCTTTGGTGACACCAACCTCCCAGTTCTTGTTACTGGCAGCACTGGGCTTCTTCGCTGAGCCCTTTTTTGACTGCTTCGGTGGCATTTTTACTCATTTATGACTTTTTCCCACGCTTAAACGGCTTAAATCTTTAAAAGCCAAAAAGTTGTCAAAACAAGACTATGATTTGCCAAACAAAACAAAAAAAAGTCTACGTTAATAATGCCCGTCTACGCCTAACTGGTGCTTGCGTTGTCCTAGCAACCGCAACGACACCAGTGTCAAAGTGGCTGCCTAGAAATAACTGACGCTTCCTGTACACTTTCAGAATAAAAGCATAAAGGAGGACACTTGTTTTTTTTGGTTCAAATGTTATTATTACTTTCTCCACTGGATGTCAGTAGATTCTCTGGTCTTTGAGACAAAACTACATAGTCAAACAGGGTTAAGCAAAGTAAACCACTTACACATGGTATTTAATTACTAACACAAATTACAATAAAGCAAACACAGCAGAGCTTAGCACTGCTACAATCTTACTTTCAAAAACTAATAAACCTAACATGTGAAGACCTTCTCCAAAATTCTAATAACAGCTGTAATTGGACTATAATGCCTCTTGTTCCATTTTTCAAATTAAGCACTATATGCCACAAAACTGTGATTTACATTGGGAAAGGCAGCAGGCTTTATCACAATAAAAACAATCTAAAGAATATATAGCTATTTTTGAACCATAACAATGCAGGTTATATGGCATGGGAGAGGTGACCTGTTTTTAATCTTAACCAGAGGTTGAATACTGAAGTGATATAAATATAAAGATAGCATGCTTCGAATAAATGATAGTGAAGGGTGAAGTGTAAACGCAGCAGTGGCAGCTTCAGCATTCTTATTCCTGTTCTGCAACATTTGATATCTATCAAAACTAAAAGTATTTCAGAGTTGATATTTCCTGTTTTTATTTCCTGAGTTACAATGCAACTCAGCAAGACCAAAACTACAGATGTGCTTCAACTGATTCCAAGTATGAAACTAGCTGCTTATTGTTTTTTTCTTTTCTTTAGAGAGATCTTGTCTTGGCACAAAAACTTCCGGTCTACATATTTCCTTTTATAATGGGAGCCTTTTTGCAATGTGCAGAGCTACAGAGTTTAAATGATATCTGAGCCAGAAAAGATGCACCTTTTACAAATTAATAACCAGATACAGCGCACACATTGTGCATCTTTTCATTTAAATTCAAAAAACTTTAATTGTCCAAGGGGGGCAGTTCAAAGGCACATAGAGCCGTAGCATTGAGGACAACAAGTGAAGCAATGACTTCACTGAAGACGTCTTGTTTTCTATCATCAATGCACATATCATAACATCATTAAGAATTCCAGGCACTCCATTGCTGCACCAAAGTCATGGTTTGGCACAGGTTTCCAATCAGTCCCATGGAAGCAGTATTATCAATGCAGGCAGGGACCATTGTCATTTAAAGCTGATTTCACCATGTCAACAACCTACTTCCAGCAGCTCCCCATAAACGGTCAAAAGTGGAACAACGCCCCAAAGCTGGCAGTGCATTCATTAGTTGTGGAGGAGTTGTTAGCTTCAAACTTGCCCGAGGCAGAGTTCTATGCTAAGGTCACACACACACACACCAGTCAGATAAACACTGTAGTTACACTCAAATAACCTCCTGTTCACGCTTCTGAGAATAGCATAGCAACATCTCAAAATATCCAGATTTTTTTAGGCAAACGCTGCTGTTGTGTCATGTAGGGCAGGTGGAATAGTTAATTTAAGATCTGCCTTTCTGGTAATCAACATTTTTCACATGATATAATCAACACAAGTGGTCCTCTTAAGCATACGTAACAGCAGATCTGAAGGTTATAAATAACTTGAGCAACTAAAATGGCAAATAAAATTAGATTCCAAGTTCTTGGGAGGGTACCGCCTGTGCTTTACACTGTGTTACGCTTACGCACTCAAAGTATCTATGACCACACACAACAATTCGTTTTAAATCATGTGCTCCCAAACATTTTAATGCTGTATTTAGACTGTAGATAGGCAAACTGTTTTTTAAATATCAACGGCTCACAAAGCATCATGTGGAGTGCTGGAATAACAACAGAATGGCCACACATGCATCATCATGAAAATAGTCATACTATACAATTAGTTTGTAAAATCAAAGCAATACAGAATTGCTGTGGATACCTTACCAAGTCTTATGGAGATGGATGCGCATTACATCAGTATCTTCTTATAAATCACTTTTAAAAACATATTTTTATCGTCAGGCCTTCTTATAATCCTTGTTTCATCCAGGATGTTTTATTTGTTTTACTGTTAACTTTAGCCAATCTTTGTCTCGGTTGTTTCTCCTTTCTCTGTTAATTGAATGATTGCTGCACTGTTGTTTTATTTTTCATGCTTTTAATAGGATTTTATTGTTGTGTATTTGTTGGGATTTTTTTCTTTTTTCTGTAAAGCACTTTGTGACGTTGGTTTTGATAAGTGCTTTATAAATACACTTCATTATTATTATATTATTATTATTATTATTATCAGTTGTTGTATGTTTCAGTCATCTTTACTGTATTATACTGAAATGTGTTCATATGTTTGGCCCTACATTCATCTGAACAACCTTTTTTAATAGTAAGCCAGCAAAGCTCAAATAAAATAAATAAGCCTGCAAACAAACTGTACTCATTTAAAGTACACTTTAAGTTTTATTGCATAGCTATTTATTTGAGTTGCTTTAAGTCATTCAGGTGCTTTTAATTTACTGTAAATTAAGATTACAAATGTATGCTAAGAATGCACACATAAGCTAGAAGAAGCATTGCAGGTGGAGGGAGGTTAAAACCGTAAAGGCCTGAAACGACATGACATGTATTTCATTTTGTATCGACTTAGTAACAAGCATAATCCTGATAAGATACCACGGTGCTTGAAGCTGTACGCTAAAATTATGGTGACAATACTGTACTGATTCATAGCATATTGAGCACATTTGACCTCCTCACCTCAAATGTTTAGTTTTTTAATATTCTAACATTAAAATAAATCAAAACTTTAATAAGATTATACCATATTTAATGATGCTTCTGCTCCTGTTTTGGCTTTGATATAGTCCTTGATACTAATGTTAGAACACGCTCAGTGTGAAGTGTTTAGGTGCTACTTTGCAATGCAAAGTAGATTTAAAATTCCACTCACTAACTCTCGATGTTGCAGCTCCAAAAGCAACGAGAGACAAGTGTTCAGAACATTTGAATTTCAATACCAAGACAGCATGTGATATAACCTCAGTGCAGCTCATGTTTACCAAATGAGCATTTGGATGAAGACCAGTTCCTTCATGGGTTTAAATTTTAACCCTCTGAGGTCGAGGCTGTCAAAACAGGGTTGAGTTTACATAATCAGCACTAAAAATTAGAATGCTAAAACTTGGCAATTTACTGTTAAACCCACTCTCTTTGACACATCGGCAGCTTTCCGGTGATAAACACTGTGTTTATGCGCCTTTCCTTCCACTGAGAACATCTGTAGATATCCAGTGACTATCCGGATCAAATCCTGCCATAAACGAATGATGATGATTTATGTATACATTTTTGCAAAAAAGTGTAATTTATGTTAGCTCACTTGGCTAACGTGGTAGCTGCCATCTTGTTTTGGTAGTTGACCAATCAGAGTCTGTGTCTACGATCAGCTGACATGTAAGGACCAATGATAAGCCAGTGCAGCCTGAAACAGACGTCATTGCTTGCTCTCATGGCGCATTCATGTGGTGTCGCACACATCGGACGAACAAGTTTTGGAGTTATGTCAATACTGTCCATTTACAACTCTGTTTTTGCACATTTACATTTAATCCTCCTATTTAAGACTAGTGATGCTAAGTTAAATCCTGGTTGTATATATTCACATTCTTAGTTTTGATATTTTTAGTACTTATTTACTTTGTATTTAATATTATATTGTGTTTAGATTTGCTAACATTGTGTTTTTGCTCATATTGTGTGTTTGGATAACCTGCTGCTGTAACGCCACAATTTCTCAGTTTGCGATCAATAAAGTAATTCTATTCTATTCTATTCTATTCTAAAAACAACATGACCGCCTGCTCAAGTTTGAGCAACAAATCGAAAACTTGTGAAAGAATTACATGCCCAACTTGCTGACTTGACGTCATAATGGTCATCACATGAGGGGCAAAATATGTTTTGCTAAAGTTTACATACTTTTTTTATTTGACATATTGCACATCCACTTTTTGCGAAATTATAACTCGTAACAGTGACTTTCCGCAAATCTTGTTAGCATCGTAGCATCCACGCTTTTTTGGTGTTACAACGTTCCGACTTTTCGAATAGAAATTACGTGAATACAGTGAAGTCGGAAGAACAACTTCCAGGCTACGAAACTGGGACCATCCGAGTAGCACATGAATGCAGCATTAGCACAGAAATATGAAAGATAGAACTGATTTTAATGGATTCATACTAGTGTTATAACTATGTGGGCCGTCATCTGACATCATTGGCTGAATAGATATTCTGATTCCCAAGGTTTTCCTGAAACCCAAAACATGGTTGTGTATTACTCGGAGACCAGGCATTAAAAAATACCTTAGACCTCAGAGGTTAACATAAGATAACATTACTTAACATGTGTTGTTTTCATAGATTACATTCAAGCAATCAGGAGACTCATAAACATTTGTTGATCATCACATCACCCCATGCAGTGTGACATGCTTGCACCCCTCATCCATGTTCATCAGGTTTCCATCTTCCCAGAAGGAGGTGGAGCTGTGGATCAGGAGGAAGCATGGAGCAGGCCCAGCTGGAAGTCAGGAACAAACAGGCTTATGCAGGGAATCTGACGCCCCGTTGGGATGGAGATGGGACTCAAGGCTGGTAAACATCTGTAGGCTGTCAATGCTACAGTATGTGTAGGTAGTGTGTATGTGCCATCAGTTTTATTGACGCTGCAGCTGTGGCAAGGAGGGACTCATTTCACAACATGGCTCTTGTCATTGATATCTACACTGTGCGCGTTTAGTAAATCATGTTGATGTTGAGTAGCTCAAGTACCACCAGTAGCTTCAC